GATCTGGACATTCTCCGGCAAAAGGGAAAGTGGAGGTTAGCAGTTCGAACCAAATGGTACTGGAAAAAAAGAAATAAGGAGAGTTGTGCAGCGCATGTATCATAAGATACTCAACATTGAGATAATCGACACAAATCATTCAATGAATAATAAAATTGTGGCCACTAACTAAGGACAGAACTTTCAAAAACTTTTGCTTTTCAGCGCAAAAAACTACTAAGTCCAGAAAAGAAAACGAGCAATAATAAGAAGACAGATTAAACAATTAATTAATGATCAAAGATGAGCGTCTGAAGCTACTAACCTGAACGAGAACACGTCCGTACTTTCAGAAAACGGTAGTTCGCCACAGTCCTCACTAATTGCTCGAATTAGCTCCGGAGCCAGATATGAGAGCCAATGAGATGGTGTCCAAATACAGTAATCCCTTAATAAAGATCTATTTTCATTGAAATCTCCTGCAAATCTAAAAAATGTCATAAAAATTACCTCTGTGGATAACTTAGTCGTTTCATACTGAAGAGTCCAAAGTCGGTTATTACAACTTTATTCTTACTTTCAATAAAGATATTCTTTGAACGGAGATCTTTATGAAGTATCTTTTTTTGATGAAGATATGAGACACCCTAAACATAAAATAGAAAAAATGTAGACATATTTAGAAAACAACCAAAATGCGTTACCTGACAGATTTGCGTTGCAATCACAAGTGCAGCTCCTATATCTAGTGGTTCACTCTTTTCATGTAAAAGATAGTATAACGATGGTCCCTTGCAATAACTCATCACAATACCATATTTGTCTGCTTCAAGACAATAACCAAGGAATAATACTATGTTATCGTGTCGGGTATTCTTAAAAAAAGATAAAAGTAAAACGGTTTTTGAACAAAGAAGTTGACTATTAATGTTTACCTTATGAGCCGCAACCTCAGATTTGAACTCATCCAATCGTCTGGACTCTTCTATATGGTCCATATTGAGGAATTTAATTGCTACATCACCGAAATGATAGCCCCGTTGGACCTTGAATACGAAAAAATAAAAAAAAAACCGTAACAATGCTGAAAAAAACTTACATAGCCGAATCGTCCACG